TTGCTGCGGACAACATATGTGCTCCTCAGGACGCTTCGTTCAACGTGAACATCGACTTCAGCGAGAAGTAGTCATCACGGTCGCCAACAACCAGAACCTGCGGACACGACAACAAGGGGTAGTACAACTTCAGTCACGAGAAACAAAAGTTATACTGCACATGTCCAAGGTACTTATCGCGGAGGGACTCGGCTATAACTTACTGAGTGTCAGCCAGTTGATGGCGAAAGGCATCCACTTGGAAGCCGACAGCACCACCCAGGAGTTTAAGCTGTACCACGGGAAGGGCGGTCTCTACATCGGAAAGGCGAATTTGAAGAACAACGTCTTCGTCCTCGACTTCATCCCAGACCTGGGCACTGCAGACAGCGATGCCATCGTCAACTTCACCGATTGGACACATCCCCGGGATCTCGATCCCGACTTCAGCCCAAGAGGTTTCTGGTACTCGCACACCATCCCTGAAGCAGAACGAACTCGAGCATTAGCAACGATTCAACAAACGGCAGCCGCAGAGACAACATCGGCAGCAGCAGAGACAACATCGGCAGCAGCAGAGACAACATCAGCAGCAGCAGAGACAACATCAGCAGTAGCAGAGACAACATCGGCAGCAGCAGAAACATCATCGGCAGCAGCGGGACCAACGACACCAGTCTTCGTCGACGAAGCACCACCAACACCCGCACAGTAGCTGAACCCGACCCAACGAGAAGTCCACAGAAGCGCAAACTTCGTCGCCAGCTTCTACTCCAACTCCGACGCGTATCAACGCTCACCCGAACATCGCGCTCCTGAAGATATCTGGCATGCACGCACAGGACATCCAAGCAACACAGTGTTAAATAACACGATACGAGCAGGAGTCCTAGACAAGGATTCGCTACTACTTTCCGACAGCAGAGAACTTCAACGGGCACGAGGAACTTGCCTCATCTGCCCCGAAGCCGACTTACCACATCGACCGTTTGCTTCCCACCACAACCCGAGCGCACCCGCGTACGCACCACTCGAGAAGGTGTACAGCGACATCCTCTTCAATCGAGAACCAGGACAAGTCACCTACAACTACACGATAACCTTCATCGATGCCGCCACTCGATACGTCTGGCACCGAAACCTACCCAGCCGCGACATGGCACTCGCAGCGTTCGCCGCTTGGCTACCGGTAGCAGAGAGAGAATCAGGAACACAGCTGAAAAGCTTCCAGTCAGACGGAGGAGGAGAATACACCTCTCAGCGCTTCAAGCAGTACCTGGCAGAAAGGGGAATCAAGCAACGCCTCTCCCTTCCCTACGCCCATCAGCAGCAAGGTGTTGCAGAAAGAATGAACAGGACTCTGCAGAACAGCATGCGCAAACTGCTACGTGGCATGCGGCTACCCAACCACCAGTGGCCTGCAGCAATGGACCATGCTGTCATGTTGCACAACTTGCTATCGTCGTCCTCACTCCTGAACAACGCATAACCGCATCTGCTGTGGACAGGGAAGCAGGGCAGCACAAGAATGTTACGAGTTTTCGGATGCATGGTATAGTACCGACCCCCAGAAGCACGAGCGGGAAGATTTTCACAACGGGCACAGTGGGGACTACACCTCGGCATCGAAAAGAATTACAACGCGTGGAAAATCTTCGACGTCCACTCAAAGGAAATTGTAGCAGCGCGTGATATGATCTTCTACGAGCGACTCACCCTTCAAACGTACCTCGCCATCTTGCACGAGAATCAGGACCCCACAGGTGGCTTTCGTGGTGACCGAGCCTTCGCCTCAGCAGCGGACGAAGCAGAATGGGACGAGCAGAACGTCGACAACGCATCGGAAGAAGCCGGACCTCTTCCGTTCTGCTCCGTCGACACCCCCATGGACGAAGAAAATCCTCGCGATAGTGTCAACGCCGAAGTTTTCTACCACTTCGCCGACAACGGTTACGTAACACCTGCGACAGTCAACACAAACGAAGCAGAACGGATAGGGCCGAATTTCATACCCGACCCAGAAGCGGGAGAAGAAGCAGCTTATCCTGAGGACACAACACTCCCCCGATACTCACAGACTGGACTGCAAATCCTTGGCCTCGTCACCGTAGTCCACGGCAACGCTCTTCCTAAAGAGCCTGCGACGGTTCAGCAGGCTCTGGGGGGGGAACACAGGGAGAAATGGCATGAAGCCATGGACAGAGAATTAAAGGCATTGGAGGAACGCAACACCTGGAAGGTCGTTCCCGCAAGCGTGGCAAGGAACAAGACCATTCTCACCGGGAAATGGGTCTTCCGCATCAAAACGAAAGCAGACGGCACGATCGAGAAATTCAAAGCACGCTGGGTCGTGCGAGGATTCGACCAAGAGCACGGACGAGACTTCACCGAGACATTCGCCCCGGTCAGCCGACATACCTCTCTCCGAATTCTCCTCGCCGTCGCCGCCATGAAGAAAAAGAAGCTGAGACAAATTGACGTCGCCAACGCATTCCTCTACGCACCCGTCGACGCCGAAATCTTCGTCGAGCTCCCACACGGTACCCACGGGAAACCTAATCAGGTTTGCCAGCTACTGAAATCGCTCTACGGAATCAAACAAGCACCGCGGCTGTGGCAACAGCACCTACACACCCGCCTCACTCGCATCGGATTCCGCCAACTGCCTCACGACCAAGGAATGTATCGACCCACTAAAGACGCCGAATATATCCTGCTGATCGTCTACGTCGACGACCTACTCTACATCGGCTCCACCGACGACATCACCACCTGGTTCGAAGGGGAGCTGCAGAAGGACCTCACGCTCACGGTTTCTTCTACCGTCACTCAGTATCTCGGACTCAACATCTACCTCAGCGCCGAGAAGTATGCCGACACTATCGCCAAGCGCTTCTCGCTCACACCTACCACTATCGCCACGCCATACCGCTACACGGCAGGAAATGACAAAGGAAATTCCGCTCCACTCAAAGCTGCCGGAATACGCGACTACCAGAGGAAGCTGGGCTGCCTTCTCTTCACAGCCGTCACCTGCCGCCCGGATCTGTCCTACTCCGCAACTCAACTCGCCACCTACCTCAAGAAACCCGAAGCAGAGCACCTGGCAGAGCTCGATCGCGCACTACACTACTTCGTGAGCACTCCGACGATCGGCCTGACTTACCACAAGAGCGAAGGTACATCAACGAAACTAATCGGCTACGTCGATGCTGATCATGCCGGCGATTCAGATAACAGGCGCTCCCGCACTGGCTACATCTATCGTCTCGAGCCTATCGGACCCATCTCCTAGCAGTCGAGCAAGCAGGAACTAATCGCTCTCTCTTCAGCTGAAGCAGAATATATCGCCCTCTGCTCAGCCACCAAGGAAGGACTCTACCTTCGCGAGCTGCTGGAAGAAGCAAAGTTAGCCGAGTTACCCAACTTCACTCTATTCTGCGACAATCAATCTGCGATTCGCATCGCCAACAAGAGCGGATTCGCGAACAGAACGAAGCACATCGCTCTGCGATACTTCTTCGTGAAAGACGAGATCGAGAAAGGGAAACTCGAATTATCCTACTGTCCCACGTCCGAGATGGCAGCCGACTACTTGACCAAGAAGCTCGGAAAACAGAAGTTTGAGTACTGCATGCTGCTGACTGGACAAAGCCACGTCACCATCAGCGACACTCCAGAAGCGAAGGGGAGTGTTGGGAACAATAAGTCTTAAACGCCTCTGTCGTGTCGAAACTTAGGACACAAAGCGAAGCAGCTCAAATCGAAGCATCGCGAGTCAACCCTCGGAGGTTAGGGTAACCGCTGGAGGTTACGAGAAGGTCAAAGGTTAGCGACCTTTGACTTGACAAATGCAGCGCGACAGCAATGACACACAACTGACTCGACATTGAGCAGTTGCCCGAGTCGCACTGTATTGAATCGCAACAGTAAAACAGTTTAAACCTATCTATTCGTATTCCTTGTACTCTTATATAAACCCTTGTATTTGCTTGTTTTAATCAACTTACTTTGCCCTCACATACTAGCGCAAGGTGGTTCAATGACTTTTATTCAACGCTTCCGCTATTACATCTTCCTACTCAGACTTTAACTCTACAAAGATCCTAGGGCACCTCAGCCCAACACTTTCAACCTCTGAGGGTTGACTCGTCGGTGCTTCGGTATGCTTTGCTTCGTTTGTGCCTTAGTGTTTCCAACACTATAAGGGGTACATTCCCTTATTACAGCGAAACCCAAACCGTGCGACTCCAGACGGTTACGAACTGCTCGGGCAGAATCCTCGCCACTGCTTCTGCCTGATGCTGTCTGCCCTGATGGTCCAGATGCTTCGCAACCGTATGCGACTCTTCGCGTCATTCCGCCTCTTCACCATTAGTCTCGATATTGCATGCTTCTCTTGCTGCAGTTAGGAGTGCATGGTGCCTTTCTCAATTTACAATTCGTATGATGTTGGTCCTCCTGTCCGTGCTTCGTGATCCATTTTGGAAATCCTTGCTTCCGAGAATTTAGTATCAGTGTAATTGTAATCGTACCCTGTGTACTCAGGGGAAAAAATCACTCACACTGTCTTACAAAGGGGAAAAAAATCTCTACACTTTTGGCCTAGGGCAAAAATCCCACTACCCTTGCTGGGAAAGGGTAACTAATGAAAAAGCGGCCGCCAAAAAGAGCAAAAATTGGTTTACCCTGATATCTAGAGCCTCCTCACTCTTACTGATACAACTCATAACATATCCACTGATGAGTATGACCCGGCCGTAGCGCACCGCACTGAAACGGTGCGGAGAAGCTTGCTAGCAAAACAACACATAAGTCTTCCTGTTTCCCCAGTATTTCCAGTGCCAGTGTCGCGCGCAGCCTAAACATCAGCGACAGTCGGTTTCCAGCCAGTTCCATCTCGAGGCCGGTTCACGCGCCCGCGTCGAAGCCTCCCGAGATTAGTTCACTAAGAACTTGAATCGACTCAGAAGTTTACTTTTGAGCGCTACCGGCGCTCGTCTAGGCGCAGCAGCGGCGCAATGCAGCCGAAGGGAGGCGGCGCGGGGGGGCTGGCGGCCTCCTCGCAGGTTGCGCCAGCGACAGGCGCCGCCGCGACCGCTAGCGCAGTTGGTGGCGGTGGTGCGGCGGGAACCGCAGGCGGAGGCAAGGCGAAGGGGACGAAACGTAAGGGATTCTTTGTGATTGAGAAGGATTGGGTGTAAGTGAGAGGGCACGCGGTGTGAGTGCGAGGGCACGCGGTGTGAGTGCGAGGGCACACGCGAAGGCATACGGCGGTGGGTAACGGAACAGCGCCATGCATCGTTTGGCATGTCTCTTTCTCGTGCAGGCTCGTGGGCATGAATGGGTGTATGGTGAACTCTGTATGCGCGTGTGCCACGTGTGGTGCGGGGCACGTATGCCACGTGTGGGGCGACCAACTCTTTATGCATTCCAGCATCCAGTCGCCAAAACAAGACGCCCTACACCTCTCGCCTCACCCCCCCCTTCTCATCTCCCCCCATTTCCGGTGCCACCCCCCCGTGCCAGCACCAGCCACAGCACACAAACCCGGCCACTTTCACTCCTCTCCTCTCCAATCACTTCAGCCCCTCCTCTCATTCCAGCACACTCCCCCCTTTTCCCCCCACATCTTGCCCCTTCTGCCCGCCCTCACCCGCCCAGTAGGGGCGGCAGCGAGGCCCAAGAAGATGTTGAAAGCAGATGTCCTTTCGCCCCCTCCTCTCATTCTCGCACAGCATACCCTTTTCTCCCCCACCTTCTCTCCCCCCCCTTCGTCCCCCCCACCCCATTCCCTCCCTTCTGTCCCCCTCTGCCCGCCCTCACTCACTCCCCCAGGCGGAGCAGCAGGCGCAGCGGCATGGAGGCCAAAGAAGATGCCCGCCGGCCCCTTGGTCGCTCCCCACCCCTTCACCCCTCTACCCGCCCTCACTCCCCAAGATGTCCGAAGAATATGTCCGCTGCCCCCTCGGTCCCCTCCCACCCCTTGCCCTCCTCTGCCCCCCTTTACCCGCCCTCACGCCCCCAGGCGGAGCAGCAAGCGGGGCGGCAGCGGCGAGGCGAAGCTCAAGAAGATGTCATCGGATTAGATAACCTTTCACCCCCTCTTTTCATTCTCGCACCCCCCAACCCCCCCCCCCCCCCCCCCTTCCCCTTCCCACCGCCCATCCTCCCCTTGTTCCCCCACCAGGCGGAGCAGCAGGTGGGGCGGCAGCAACGAGGCCCAAGAAGATATCCAAAGCAGCTGTCCGCCTCCCCCCCTCATTCACCACTGCTTGCCCCCCTCTGCCCCCCTTTACCCGCCGTCACTGTGCCAGGCGGGGCAGCAGGCGGGGCGGCAGCAGCGGCGCGGCAGGCGGGGCGACGGCAGCGCGGCCCAAGAAGATGTCCAAAGCACTGCACACACACCCCCTCCGCCCTTGTCGTTCCCCACCCGTTGTCCCCTTCAGGCGGAGCAGCAGGCGGGGCACCAGCGGCAGGCCCAAGAAGATGTCAAAAGCAGATAACCCTGCCCTTTCCCAACCCTTCCCCCCCTCCGCCTTGCTGCACTTCCCTCAGGTGGTGCAGCAGGCGGGGCGGCAGCAGCGCGGCCCAAGAAGATGTCCAAAGCAGCTGCAGCTGCTGCTGCCGCGGCGGCTCAGAAGCAGGCGGCAGGTGGGCGGCAGTGAGGGGTGGCAGGTGGGGCAGCGTGAGTGGTGGGCAGGTGGGCGGCAGTGAGCGATGACAGGTGGGCAGCAGTGAGCGATGACAGGTGGGCGGCAGTGAGCGATGACAGGTGGGCGGCAGTGAGCGATGACAGGTGGGCGGCAGTGAGCGATGACAGGTGGGCGGCAGTGAGCGATGACAGGTGGGCGGCAGTGAGCGATGACAGGTGGGCGGCAGTGAGCGATGACAGGTGAGCGGCAGTGAGCGATGACAGGTGGGCGGCAGTGAGCGATGACAGGTGGGCGGCAGTGAGCGATGACAGGTGGGCGGCAGTGAGCGATGACAGGTGGGCGGCAGTGAGGGGTGGCAGGTGGGGCAGCGTGAGTGGTGGGCAGGTGGGCGGCAGTGAGCGATGACAGGTGGGCGGCAGTGAGCGATGACAGGTGGGCGGCAGTGAGCGATGACAGGTGGGCGGCAGTGAGGGGTGGCAGGTGGGGCAGCGTGAGTGGTGGGCAGGTGGGCGGCAGTGAGCGATGACAGGTGGGCAGCAGTGAGCGATGACAGGTGGGCGGCAGTGAGCGATGACAGGTGGGCGGCAGTGAGCGATGACAGGTGGGCGGCAGTGAGCGATGACAGGTGGGCGGCGGCAGTGAGCGATGACAGGTGGGCGGCAGTGTGAGATAGTTCGTTCTTTTGGTAAGCTGCGTGAGGTGAGAATCGAGAGTGAGGAGGTGGGATGTGGGAGGTGGGTTGGAGGGGGTGGGTGGGTGCTAGGTGCGCAGCAGTCCCCTCCCATCCGCCTGTTCAGCAGTGAGGATGATCGAGGATCACATTCACAGCCTTTCACCTCATTTGCCTCCCTCCCTCCTCCCCCCTCTTCCTCTGCTCTGCCACTCTGTCTGCTCTTCCAGAGGCAAAGGCAGGAGCAGCTGGAGGAGATGCTACGGTGATTGCTATTGGTCAGCAACAGCAGTCACAGCAGCAGCAGCAGCAGCAGCAGCAGCAGCAGCAGCTACTGAAGCAACAACAGCAGCAAGAGATGCAGCAGCAACAACAGCAGCAGCAGCAGCAGCACCAACAGCAGGAACATCAGCAGCAGCTGCAGCAACAGCGGCATCAGCAGCAGCAGCAGCAGCAGCAGCAGCAACAGCAGCAGCAGCAGCAGCAGCAGCAGCAGCAGCAGCAGCAGCAGCAGAAGCAGCAGCAGCAGCGGCAGCAGGGGAGGGAAGGGGGAAAGGAGGGTCCAGGGGGTGGAGAGGCGGAGCGAGGGCGGGCAGCAGTGGGGGGAGCCGAGCGCAAGGACAAGAAGGCAGCTGCTAAGCAAGGGGCGCACGGAGGGGGCGCAGCTACAGGGGGAAAAGTGGCGTGAGTCCCTTTGCCTGATTTTGCTCTGCTGGACGTTTCGAGTTTGTGATTTTATTCTCTATGACGTTGTATCGATCCAGTCCATCTGTGTAAGCTTCTTTACTATACTATATTCTATTTTCCTTTCTTTAACTATGTCGTAACGAGCTTGTCTTCTTGCCCCTTCCGCACTCCCTGTTCCCTCTCCCTGTCCCCTTTCCCTGTTCCCTTTGCCTCTCGCCTCTTACTATCTCGCCTCTCTCCTTGCCCTTTTCCCTGTCCTCTCTGCCCGTTCCCTCTCCGTCTCCCTATCTCCCCTCTCCCTGTCACCTCTCCCTGTGCGGCAGTGCTGTGTCTGACACCCCTGCTGCCACGGGATCAGCACATGCTGCCAAGCCCGTCACGGCACCAGCAGCAGGCATGCTCGCCCACTCACTCACCCACCCACCTCTCCCACCTCTCCCCTCTCCTCACGCACATCGATGGCTCTCTGCCTCGTCTTTTGTTTGACGACACAACAGCCACCCTTACCCACACTCACACTCTCCTTGCGCCACTCTCTTGTGCCATCTTCAATCCAAGCCTGCTTACCCATCCCATCCCATCCCATCCCATCCCATCCCATCCCATCCCATCCCAGAACATAACATGCCATGGACTGCACACACACACGCCTCAGAACGCGCCACTCAATGCTCCACTCCACGCTGTTTTTAATGCCCCACCACGCGCGCGTTCCTTCCATGCCACAATTCACCCACCACACCCCACGCCCATCTCACCTCGCACCCCTAGCAGGCAAGCCAGCGGCGCCAAAGAAGAAGGCGAGTGCGTCGCGGCGCAGCACCTTCGACTTCATCCTCAAGCAGTCCAAGCCGCTGCGCAAGGACCAGCACCCGCCAGGTGCACATGTGTTATAGCCAGGGGGGTATAGCGCCCAGGTGGGGATAGCAGCGCCCATGTGGGGATAGCAGCGCCCATGTGGGGATAGCAGCGCCCAGGATGGTACGTGTGGCCTACGATGAGTGATTTTTTCCAGCAATCTTGGCGGGAACCAGCCAGACATTGCAGCAGCAGAGGGTTAAAGCGACCAGACGGGGAAATCTTATTTTACCCTCCACTCCGTTCTCCACCCTCTCTCTTCCACTCCACACCTTCCCTCCCTCCTGCATCCCCCCCCTTTCTTTTCCCCCACATCCCCCACCCTCTCTCCTTCCATCATTCACCCCTTTCTGCTCCATCCTCTACCCGCTTCCCTTCTCCACCAACCCCTCCCTTCCCCTCCCTTCCCCTCCCTTCCCCTCCCTTCCCCTCCCTTCCCCTCCCTTCCCCTCCCTTCCCCTCCCTTCCCCTCCCTTCCCCTCCCTTACAGCCCCCGCGCCACTACCGCTAGCGACGGGCATGCAGCATGCGCGGCACGAGGCGAGGCTGAGGGGCGTGCTGGGGGCGCTCTTCTGGGAGGCCAGCTCACGGGCCATCACCAACCAGAGCACCCCCTCCCCCTCCCCCGCCGCCCTCCCCCTCGCCTCCCACCCCACGCCCTCGCCCTCCTCCCTCCCCCCCACGCCCTCTTCCGCTGCCCCAAATCTGCCCGCCGCCTCCCTCTCCTCATTCCCTGCCACCGCTGCTGCTGCCCATTCTGGTGTGGCCTCTCAGCCGTCGTCTCTGTCACACAGTGCCGCGCCACTTGCCCCGCCCTCCTCCTCCTCCCTGGACCCCCTCTCGCTGCATAAGTTCTCCGAGCTTCCAGGCTCGGGCTTGGGGCTGCCAGGTTTCCAGACCTTGCAGGGAGGCTCGGGAGCAACTGGTTTGGCAGGAGGGGGAGGGGGAGGGGGGAACAGTGGGAGCGGGAGGATGAGGGGAATGGCAGGGGGAGGCATGGGTGGGGGTTCTGGGGGAGGAGGGGAAGGGGAAGGGGGTGCGGGGGGAGCAGCAGTTGCGGGTATGGGCGGGATGGGCGGATACGGGGGTGCGTTCAACACGAGTGGAGGCGGGGTGAACTCAGGAGCGGCAGGAGGCAGGGTGGTGGGTGGGATGGGGGCAACGGCAGGCGCTGGAGGGATGGGAGGAGGCATGGGAGGGAATATGGGAAGTCTGGGCATGGGCATGGGCATGGGCATGGGTATGAATATGGGCATGGGCGCAGGCACAAGTGGTCGTATGGATGCTTCTTTCTCTTCGCCCCCTGCCTCTGCATCCAATCCGCTCTCCCAGTTTTCCTCCCCTTCTTCTGCGCTGCCTGCTGCCATGGCTGCCACTACCACTGCTATGGGTGCGGGTATGGGCGCACGCATGACTTTTGAGTCCACTCAAAAGGGCATGGGTGCGGGCATGGGTGCAAATATGGGTGCTGGCATGGGAGCAGGCATGGGTAGTGGTGTGGGCGGTGCAGGTGGTGCGGGTGGTGGTGGTAGTGGTGGTGCTGGCATGTCGTCTTGGCAGGCACAGCAGCATGGGCAGGGGCAGCTGCAGGGGCTGCGACAGGGGCAGCAAGGGCAGGGACAGCAGGGGCAGGGGCAGCAAGGGCAGGGACAGCAGGGGCAGGGGCAGCAAGGGCAGGGGCAGCAGGGGCAGGGGCAGCAAGGGCAGGGGCAGTTGCAAGGGCAGGGGCAGCAAGGGCAGGTGCAAGGGCAGGGGCACGGACAGGGGCAGTTGCTGGGACAGGGACAAGAGCAAGGGGGGCAGGAGTTTCAGGGGCAGGCAGCGCACGGCACAGTGCTGCAGGGGGTGGCGGGGGACGGGAACTTGCAGGGGCGATCGGGTGTGCATGGAGGGGTGGGGCAGAAGGAGCCGAGCAACAGCAAAGGCGCCACTGCTGCCGTTGGTGCTGTGGGCGCTGCTGCTGCCTCTCCCGCCCCCGCTGCTCCTGCCGCTGCTCCTCAGGTGGGAAAGAAGAGACTTGTGGATTCTTCAAGCTACAAGAGGTTCAAGCACCCTCGACTAACGCTCTCTTTCTCTCACATTCGTCTATTTTCCTTGTTGTTACTTTCCATCCCATTCCTCAGAAGCCCAAGTCTCGGCCAAAAAAGGCATCAGCCGCAGCAGCGGCAGCGGCAGCGGCAGCAGGAGCAGCAGGAGCAGGAGGAGCAGGAGGAGCAGGAGGAGCAGCGGAAGCAGCTGCTGCACAGAAGCCCAAGCCCAAGTCAAAGCCTAAGGTCTCTGCCAAAGCCAGAGCCGCTGCTGCAGCCGCCGCCGCTGCCGCCGCCGCCGCCGCCGCTGCTGCTGCGAACGCCTCTTCTGCTGGTGGGGCAGCTCCGGGTGGCTCTGCTGCTGCTTCTGCTGCGGCTGACAGTGAGGGTGCGCCTGCTGCTGCTGTTGCTGCTGCTACTGCGAGTGGTGCCACAGCAGGGAGTGCGAGGAGCAGTGCAGGTGGCAGCGAGGGCGAGGCGGCAGGGAAGGCGATGAAAGGCCTTCCAAGCCCGCGCGGCGGGGGCGAGAAGCAGGGCTTCCTGCGCGATGGCGGGCAGGGGCAGCAGCAGGCGGTGCACTCGCCTCAGCAGCTGGCTCAGCTGGCGGCGCACCTGCAGTCCCAGCTTGGGGGACAATCAGGTGGGGGAAATGGGGGCCCTCAGGGCAGTCAGTTAGGTGGGCAGAATCAGGCTAGACAGAAGATGCAGCAGCAGCAAATGCAGCAGCAGCAGCAGTTGAAGCAGCAGCAGCAGCAGCAAATGCAGCAGCAGCAGCAGCATTTGCAGAGGCAGCAGGGCATGCGGCAAGGCCAGGTGCAAGGGCAGCAGCAGCAGATGCAGCAAATGCAGGGGCTTTCCTCCCCTCCTCACAGCAGCCCGCCAGCACCGATGAATCAAAGGCACATGTTCCAGCCGCCTCACCAGCAGCCGCACCAGCTGCAGCAACAGCAAGGGGGAGGAGGAAGGGCGATGGGGGGAGCAGGCGGGGCGGGGGGGCACATGCAGGCGCCTGGGGAGATGCTTGTGCAGCAGCAACGGCAGCAGCTGGCAGGATCCATGGGGCAGGAGGGGAGGGGGATGGACCGAGGCACAGGGCAGCAGGGGCAGGGGCAGGGGCAGGGAGTTGCAGGAATGGGGGGAATGGGAGGGATGGGTATGGGTATGGGTAGCATGGGAGGAATGGGAGGGATGGGGGGCATGGGGGCGATGGGGGGTGTGTTGCAGGGAATGGGAGCAGGCAATGCTGGTGCAGGGAGGGCGGGCTCCTTCCAAGGTGAGCCCACGACTCGCTCGCTTGGTTTGATCCGTTTTGATTGCTTTCCGTCGCATGCATCCACGTCACATGCATCCACGTCACATGCATCCACGTCACATGCATCCACGTCACATGCATCCACGTCGCATGCATCCACGTCGCATGCATCCACGTCGCATGCATCCACATCGCATACATCCACGTCGCATGCATCCACGTCGCATGCATCCACGTCACATACATCCACGTCGCATGCATCCACGTCGCATGCATCCACGTCGCATGCATCCACGTCGCATGCATCCACGTCGCATGCATCCACGTCGCATACATCCACGTCGCATGCATCCACGTCGCATGCATCCACGTCACATACATCCACGTCGCATGCATCCACGTCGCATGCATCCACGTCACATGCATCCACGTCGCATGCATCCACGTTGCATGGATCCATGTCGCATGCATCCACGTCGCATACATCCACGTCGCATGCATCCACGTCGCATGCATCCACGTCACATGTGTTAGATTAGAGCATCAGTTGGGTTCTAAATGTGCAAGTGTAACACCCAAACATGGGTGTACACTTTGGGCCAAGGCGCCCCAACCAGTTCTGGTTGGGCGCGTCCCAACCCCACTCTGCCACAATTGGCGGGGGGAACCAGGCCCCCCAATAATTGGCAGCCACCTCCAAAACATTATTGGTGGCTGCTCCCATTGGCTCACCAATAATGTTGCGGGTACCCAACCTAGGTCTCCCACTTCTCATCCCTTATATGTACCCACCATCTTTCTAATCAAACCAACTCTTGAGTTCACCCATCATCCCAACTATGGGATTCTCATAACATGCATCCACGTCACATGCATCCACGTCACATGCATCCACGACGCATGCATCTACAGAATGGTCTGCCTCACAAGCTCTCAGCACTCGCACCCACCCTACTCACTCTTACCCACCCTACTCACTCTTCACTCTCTGCTCTCCAATTTTCATTTCTGTCCTCTGCTCTTTTCTCTCTGCTCTCTGCCCTCTGCTCACTGCTCTCTGCTTGCTGCTCACTGCTCACTGCTCGCTGCTCTCTGCTCGCTGCTCACTGCTCTCTGCTCTCTGCTCACTGCTCTCTGCTCTGCTCTTTCACTGATCGCTCTGATCCTTCTTCCACCCAATGCCAGGCCAAGGCTCGATGGCATCGTCTCAAATGCCGGCCCACATGAGGGGCTTGCCAGCACAGACCATGCAGCAGCAGCCGCAGTACAGTCAGCAGCATCAGGAGCAGCAGCAAATGCAGCAGCAGTGGGCGTCTGGCCAGCCAGGAGGTGCAGGACGGGCAGGTGGAGCTGGGGGGATGCAGCAGCAGCAGCAGGCGGGACAAGGGCAAGGGCAAGTGCAAGCAGCAGGGCGGAGTGGGTCAGGAGGGGCAGGCATGGATGAGCCCTTCCCTGCTGACCACCCTCCGGAGCGCATGGGCATGCAACAGCATGGCTCCTTCCATGCCTCCTCCCACATGCCCTCTGCTGCTGCTTCCGGTCAAGGCATGGGCATGGGCATGGGCATGGGAGGAGCAGCGGGCATGGGCATGGGAGGAGCAGCGGGTATGGGCATGGGGGGAGGGTCGTCGCTGCTGGCGGGGATTCCCAACTCATCCCTCGTGTCGTCCTTTGGGGGCATGGGAGGGGCAGGGGGAGGGATGAGGGGCATGGAGGGCATGGGAGCGATGGGGGGAGCGGGAGGGGGTTTGGGGGGCGGTGATGGGGCTGGAGGGGCAGGTGGGCGTGGTCGTGGTGCTGGCGGTGGTGCTGCAGGAATTGATGAGGCAGCCATGTTTGCAGGAGAGGATGATTATGGGGATTTGCCTTGATTGATAGTCATTGGTGGATTACGTTGCTGAACTGCTGCCCCTAAAGTCGATTGAGACATGGTCTGATTTGGCACATATCCATATCCAAGAATGAATTAATGGAAGTTGTTCAAATATATTTGGGAGAGAAACGTTGTTACTCGTATGCAAGGAATTACAATTCCTTACTGTACTTGCACTTTAGCGAGGAAGGACGAAGGACGAGGAAGGATGCCTTGGGGTCGAGGAGTTGTGTGCTAGCCGGCCAGGAGAACGAGTTAGTTGCTCCTCGCGGTTGTTAGAATGGTCCAAGCTACTAGCGGAAGCTATAGTAGTCTTAGAACCTCCTCCTAAAGCCTAGGAATCTTAGGAGCCAACTTGGGCATGAACCATGCTAGAACCAAAAGCATTTGGAAAGTGAAGTTCCAACAAGAGAGAACCCTAACCTATAGGGTTTGGGAGGTGGTCCACTCTAAAGAGTGTACACCACAAGTTCTCCCAACCCAACCAATGTATTCTACACTACCTATAGTGTAGATCTAGCACTACATATGTTTATTGGAGCAACCCGAATTAACCTTAATTCCAACACCCCCCTTGCTCCAATAAGCATTAAAGTTCACCCATTCATCAAAACACAACCCCCCCAGCGAATGAAGCCTTGGCCTTTGCAGCCATCACTCGCATGCCGATGCACTCAAGGTTCTCATGCAGCTGCAAGCTTGGGAGAGCTTTGGTGAGCATGTCGGCATCCTGGAGGTGGGAACGTACTAAGTGCACCTCGACCTCCTGTTGGCGCACCACATCCTGTACAAAGTGCCATGCCACCTTAATCTGCTTGGTGCGCTGATGGAGAACGAGATTGTGTGCAAGGGAGACAACAACTTCATTATCACAGAACAATGGAGTAGCCCCCCCATCCCCCACATGCATCTCTGCCAACAAACTCCTCAACCAAATGGTTGTCAGAATGTTATGCTCTAGCCTGTAGTGGGGTGCTCTATAGCGAGTACAACCCTTCTAGGGTTTGCTATTTGTATCCCCATTTCTGCTAGTGACCTTCCTCTTTGCCTAAACTCTTTCTTGCCTAGCTAGGGCTTTCCTAGCTATGGCGCCTACCTCTAGTGCTCATCTTCACATGCTATCAGAGCAGATCGATCCCCTTAGGTCGATCCTGTGGGTGGGCCCACCACCTCACTGCTTCCGCTGCTACTGCTACTCCCTGTCCGCCGCGCGCCCCGTGGTGCGCGTCGTCGAAATTAGGGTTTTCAGCCCGCCGTGCGCCCCGAGGCGCGCGACGGGTTTCTGCCCCGTCACTTCGCGCGTCGCTCCCGGGAGGCACTGCGACGGACGACAGGGACCCGCGCGTCGCCCCCCGTCGCCCCCCGTCGCCCGTCGTGGTCTGCGCGCGGCCCGTACGGGCTGCGCCAGGCCCGCGCGCGGCTCGGGCCGCCTGCGCGCGGTTCGGGCGGCTGTGCGAGGCCCGTGGGCGGCCCGTTCTTCGCTGCCCCTACGCTGCCCGCTGTCCCCCGTGCTTCTGATGGCGCCCCACCCCTGCTGGTGCCCGTTCTCCTGAATTAGGGTTTGGGGGTGGGGGGTATGGGGGTGCAGCTTCCGTGTGCCGTCCCCTGCTCCTCCTCCTCCTCCGTCTCCCGCTGCTGGAGCTGCCGCTGAGGGGGGGTGGACCTGTTGGAGCCGTCGGAGTGGTACTAAGGGGGGTGAAGGGGGAGTGGAGCTAGGGGTGAAGCAGCGGGTGTGTGTCAGGGGGGGTGAGACTGTTTGGGAAGTTGAACGGAGGTTGCCGTCGTGTCGCCAGCAGCACCTGTAGTCCGGAGAGTTGCTCCGGTAGCTCAGTCGCAGCCAGCTGTGCCAGTCGCCCGTGGGTCCGTTGCTTGTCTGCCGCTACTTTTAGCCGCGGAGCCAGTTACTCGAGTAGTCCGGAGCGTTGTTCCGGTAGCCGCTGTGACAGTGTGACTCCTGTTGCCCGCGTGTTTGCAGCTTCAGCCGTCGCCTCCTATCTCCTCTCCTCTCACTGTCCCTCCTCCTCCTCACTTGCCCGTTATGACTACCACTAGCTTTGCTCATAATTGTGAACTTTAAACTATTGCTTCTTGTACTTGTGCTCAGAATGTGTGGTGACATTGTGATCCACCCTGAGCTTGTTCTGCTTTGCTTGCTCTGCTGATTACACCCCACCTTGGCTATGGGGGTGTGTCAGAATGTTATGCTCTAGCCTATAGTGGGGTGCTCTATAGCAAGTACAACCCTTCTAGGGTTTGCTATTTGTATCCCCATTTCTGCTAGTGACCTTCCTCTTTGCCTAAACTCCTTGGCCTCCTTGGCCCCCTCCAATAGAGCTTTATACTCAGCTTAAAAAATGCTTGCTGCAACAATGTCTTTCCTTTTGCTATATCAGCTGATAGCTCCTCCTCCCAACTTAAAGATGTAGGCACAGCGACTCTTGCCATCAGTCTCAACACCCCAATCCGAGTCAGTGTACCCAACAACCTGCTCACCACCTTGGTGTTCATACCTGATGACACGATCAGCTGTGTCGACCAAGTACATGAGTGCTCTCAGTGCAGCGTGCATGGGAATGCGTCTTGGTGCTACAGAGGACTGTGCAAGGGTGTTGACAGTGAAGGACATGTCAGGACGGGTAGTCACAGCAGCATACATCAAGCTGCCAATGAGACTCTGGTACACCTTGATATCAGCTGCAGCACCTTCCTCACTCGACCAAGTACCATTCCTAATCTTAGAGAGATAATTGAGTGACATGGGAGTATGCACCCTATGTGTCTCCTTCAGCAGATCACCAAACCTTCCCTGAAGACCGCGGACATACTTCTCCTTACCAATCTTCAACCACCCATCCTTGACCGACCTGCGAACCTCCACACCAAGGTATGTGGATACCTCACATAGATCCTTCATCTGGTACCTCTGAGCAAGCACCTCCTTGACCTGACCGATCAGCTCCAAGCGTGGAGACACAAGCAAGAGGTCATCCACATACACCAATACATACATATGCTCTTCATCCACAAACCTGATGTACAGAGCCTCGTCGCTTGCACTGCGGTCAAACCACACTGTAATCAGGGTGGTACCAATCTCCTCATTCCAGGCACGAGCTGCTTGCTTGAGCCCATAGAGAGCTTTGTGTGAAAGAAGTGAACAGGAATGAATGAACTAGCAGTGAAATGAGTACAAGTAGGAAACCCTAGAATTGTGTACCCCCTATAGGCTAACCCACTGTAGCCTACACAAGCATAACATATATAATGTTAGACACACCCCCATAGGCAAAGTGGGGGAGAACAAGGGGTCACAAGACCAGTCAAGCAAAGCAAAGCAAGCTCAGGGTGGATCACAAAGTCACCACACAGTCCGAGCACAAGAGCAGGGCCAGAGGCCAGTTCACATGCAGGAGTACAGACATATATATAAAACTAGACAAGCAAGAGCAGGTAGATATATATATGTCACAGTACAAGTGAAGTCAAGAGGAGAGCAAGTGAGGCAAGACAGGCACAAGACCCAGCTGGGTGCAAAAGCGCTGATGGTCACAAGGCGAAGTGCCTTGGTGAACACATCAGCAGTGTTGGCCTCAGAGGCCACGTACGCAAGTCGCAACTGACCACGCTGCTGCAGCTCACGAGCAAGGAAGTAGCGGAGAGCAATGTGCTTCGTTCTGTGCTCCAAGCGCTGCTCTCGACACAAGGCCAGCATGGCCTTGTTGTCTACGTACAGCACTGGAGGAGAACGAGGCGGCTCTCCAAGGTCAGTCAGCAGGTAGGTGAGCCAGCGAAGCTCCTGTGCAGCCATGGCCCCGGCGTAGATCTCAGCCTCACAACTGGAGCCGAGAACCGAAGATGAGCGAGTAGACCGCCACGAGACAGAGCCGGAACCAAGGCTGAAGGTGTAACCCTGTGACGACCGCTGCGTAGCCTGGTCGTCAGCCCAAGAAGCGTCCGCGTGGCCAGTAAGGACCACTGGACTCCGCCCTCCAAGCACTAGCCCCATGCCCGACGTACTGCACAGGTAGCGCAATACCCTCTTCGCTGCAGCCATGTGCTCTGGTCTGTGTCTCCCAGGAGCAACATAGCGTGCAAGAATGCTCAGAGGGTATGCAAGGTCAGGTCGTGTGCAGGTCATCAGGTACATGAGGCAGCCAACAAGCTCTGCATACGGACCACTCGACTCTACGGACTCATCCGAAGGCAGAGCTGAGAGTGAGTGGCGAGTAGGCAGAGGAGTGGCCTGAGGCGAGGAGTACGTGAAGCCGAAGCGCTGAAGGACCTGCTGCACCATGTGTGACTGAGTCAAGGTAATGGTGCGGCGTGCTCTGTCCCGAGTGATCTGCAAGCCAAGGTAGCTGCGCAGTTCACCCAGGTCTGTGCACGTGTGTCTCTTCAGCAGCTCGGACTTCACGTAGGCGAGTCCAGCAGTGTCGGCTGTGGCAAAGACCAAGTCGTCGACGTACACGAGGATGTAGAACGGCGGCAGGGAAGTGTCGGTGCGAAGAAACAGCGACGGGTCAGCAGTAGAAGGAGCAAACCCAAGAGCCGCAAGCGTAGTCCTCAGTGTGTCGTGCCACTCTCGCGGTGCCTGGCGGAGACCGTAGACTGGCCGTCGGAGGCTCCACTGGGTGCCAGGAGGGAAAGTCCCAGTGAAGCCAGGTGGACGGCGAAGCCAGATCTCCTCGTGCAGGCTACCCTGCAAGAACGCAGTGCTGAAGTCGAGAGAGTGAAGCTCGTAGTCGCGCTGAGCGGCTATGTGCAGCAGCACCCGAAGAGTAGTCATCTTCGGGGTGGGAGAGAAGGTCTGAAAGTAGTCAACTCCCTGCCGCTGACTGAAGCCACGAGCAACGTACCGTGCCTTGAAGACAGGTGGAGAGCCCGGCGGCCGCTTCACCCTGAAGATCCACATGCCACTGACGATGTTCGCCCCAGGAGGGGGAACCGCGTCAACGTAGGTGCCTGTGGACTTCCAGGAAGCCATCTCTGCATCCATAG